GCTAGCCTTGAGCTGAAGAGCTGAGGGATAGCGTCCAGGCCTATAGTTCAGGCCCATGACTGACAAAAAAAAAACAACAACAACAAAACAAAACTCTAGATTGAAATCATGTATAGATACATACATATATTTCCTTCCTAAGCAATGAAGCCCTTAGTTCCAGTAAAATCTTACGCAGAAACTTTAAGTCATAGTATTCTATTTGATGATAGAGATCACTGGATACAAAACAGCCTTAAACTGAAAGTGGTTGTGCAAATAAGATACTATTGCAACCCTTTTAAATTCAAGAACACAAAGACTGTAATAGAAAATTTACCACATTGAATGAGCTTCATCTAAAGATACAGTGCATGAGCCATTGGTATTCCATCTATATCATATAAAATATCCCACATAGTGCTAATTGTGCAAGAAAAAGGGTTATCAATTACAGGTTTATACCTGTAATCCTAGCCACTCAGGAGGCTGAGATCTGAGGACTGCAGTTTGAAGCCAGCCCAAACAGGAAAGTCCATAAGACTTTCATCTCCAAAAATCTAGAAGTAGGAAGTGGCACTGTGGCTCAAGCGGTAGAGTGCTCACCTTGAACTGAAGAGCACAAGGACAGTGCCCAGGCCCAGAGTTCAAGCCCCACGACTGACCAAAAAAAAAAAAAAAATCTAGAAGTAAGTGGTGCTATGGCTCAAGAATGCTAGCATTGAACAAAAAGAAGTTCAGGACAGAACCCAGGCACTGAGTTCAAGCCCCAACATGTGTACGAGAGAGAGACAGAGACACGGAGAGAGGGAGAGGAAGGGACAGAGAGGGAGTAAAGGGGAGAGAGAGGGGGAGATGGACGGGGGAAGAGAGGAAGAGAGGGAGAGAAGGAGAGAGGGAAAGAGACAGAGAGAGGAGGGATATCAAAGTTCTTGTTCTAGATTCTGAACTGAATAGATATCACCTGTACCCAGGCATTATTTGAAAGTCTACCTAGCAGCTCATACTATAAACCACACACATTCACTGAAAATATGGCTCTGATATGATGGAATTGAGGCCAATTTCAGAATAATTTTGAAATGTTCCCAATAGATTATGGCAATAGTTGTACAATTCTGAATACAGTGAAAACTCAAATGTACACTATACATAGGTAAATTATAATTAAATGGAACTATTTTTAATGAATAATTTTCAAGAGGATTTATGGTCAAACAGACAATATTTTGTAAATTTAGTAACTGCCACTTTAAATGTCGATGATCTTTTAAAATCAGATACATGATTCAAAGAATTCTTGTATGACATTGAGCAATACACTCTGTTCTCCTGCTATTTTGTTTCTAGACAGACCTAAGTTAGGTTACATTACATTTTGTCATTAAAAAATCATGTATCTGGCAATAAAATTCTATTATTACCTTAAGTTCAAAGCAATTTTTTAAAAATGTAGTATGTGGTTAGTTACACCCTCATCATGAAAAGAATTAGCCAGTAAGAAACCAACAGATATGGCACTTATATTATTTTCACAGATCCTCAAGCTCCTAAAACATTTCTCACCTTTCTAACTAGAAATTTTTTTCTAAAATGTTTTCTTACCTGGTTTCAAAGGTGTGGTACTACCTTGCTGAAGTTTAGCTTTTCTCAAGGAAGTCTTGGCAGAAAAAAGCTCTCCTATCCCATTGTTCCCAGGAAATTTGTTCTCCAAATTGGCCTTCTTGTCTGTGAAAAGGTAAAATCATTCAAACTATCATTAAGGAAGCAAAAGGAGTCAGTACCATGCATTTAAAATGGAGAGTAGAGCTCCTTTCCAGCATTCTTCTAACTCATTTAGCAAGAATGAGTAAAGTTCTAGCAACCAAAAGAAATGTGTGCACCTTATGCATCAGAAATAGACTGTAAAATCACTAAGTAAACTAGCAACATTAAACAATGCACTTTAGAAAAGTTCAGATTCTCAATTGGTAATAGCCCTTTATCTTTATTTGATACAGTTAGAGCAATACAAACAGTGTCTGGCATTATTTACCACCCAAACACATCATGTTCATGTTCCTTTTGAAAGAAACTGTAACCACCAGAAACTGTTGGATTACAAGGGAGAGTTTTTACTCATAATGCTTCTCATCAGCTGGGTGATCAGACAAGAATGTGGGTTATGTGATAGTAAAGCAAGAAGGCTAGGTTTTCTCAAGGAATTTTATCTTAGGTTGTGCTGTGCCCAAAGGTCAGAGCAAAACACTGAAAGTTTTGTTCTACCGACAGTCCATGGAAAGAGCATGAGGATGGTTTAGCCCAGTAATAATTGATGAATTTTTTTGTTTGTTTGGTTTTTTTTTTTTTTTGCCAGTTCTGGGGCTTGAACTCAGGGCCTGGACACTGTCCCTGAGCTTCTTTTGCTCAAGACTAGCACTCTACTACTTAAGCCACAGCACCACTTCTGGCTTTTTCTGCTTATGTGGTACTAAGGAATCAAACCCAGGGCTTCATGCATGCTAGGCAAGTACGTTAGCACTGAGCCACTTTCCCAGCCCAACTGATGTGGTTATTTTAAGAAAACTACAAAGTAGGGCTGGGAATGTGGCTTATGGGTAGTGTTTGCCTAGCATGCATGAAGTCCTGGGTTTGATTCAGTACCATTTACACAAAAAAAGCCAGATCCAGGTGCCAGTGGCTCACACCTGTAATGCTAGCTATTCAGGAGGCTGAGATCTGAGGATCACAGTTCAAAGCCAGCCTGGGCAGGAAAGTCCATGAGACTCTTATCTCCAATAATCCACTAGAAAATCAGAAGTGGCGCTGTGGCTCAAGTGGTAGAGTGCTCACCTTGAGCTGAAGAGTGCAGGGACAGTGCCCAAGCCCAGAGTTCAAGCCCCAGGACTGACCAAAACAAACAAACAAGCTGGAAGTAGTACTGTGGCTCAAGTGGAAGAGCGCTAGCATTGAGCACAGAGAAGCTCAAGGACAGCGCCCAGGCCCTGAGTTCAAGCTCTAGAACTGGCAAAAAAAGAGAAAACTACAAAGTAATGTGCTAGAACTAAGATAAGTTTGAAAAATTGTGGGAGAAGTTTTAGAACTGCACTTGGTCAGCACTAGGGGCTCACACCTGTAATCCTAGCTACTCAGGAGGCTGAGATCTGAGGATCTCAGTTCAAAGCCCACCCAAGCAAGGAAAATCCATGAGACTCTTATCTCCAATAAACCACCACAAAACCAGAAGTGGCACTGTGGTTTAAGTGGTAGAGTGCTAGCCTTGAGCTGAAGAGCTGAGGGACAGCACCCAGGCCCAGAGTTCAAGCCCCACGACCAAAAAAAAAAACAAAGAAAGAAAAAAGAAACACTTGATATTATTGCTATACTAATGGTTCCTAGTCTCAGGAGGCTGAGCTCTGAGGATCACAGTCCGAAATCAGCATAGACAGGAAAATATGTGAGATTCTTTTCTCCGATAAAATAAATATTCAAAAAAAGCTAAAACTGCTGTGGTTGCTAGTTTTCTTGATGATACAATACAAAATGTCTTGGTACAGACAGAAGCTCATATTCTAGGTTTTTGTTGTTGTCTATGCTGGTCCTGGGGCTTGAACTTGGCCTGGGCACTGGCTGTCCCTGAGCTTTTGTGCTCAAGGGCAGAGTTCTACCACTTCAGCCATACCTCCATTTCTGGCTTTCAGATGGCTAATTTGAGATAAAAGCCTCTCGGGCTGGGGCTGGGAAAGTGGCTCAGTGGTAGAGCGCTTGCCTTGCAAGCCTAAGGCTCTGGGTTCGATTCCTCAGCACCACATAAGCTAAAAGAAAAAAGCCGGAAGTGGCGCTGTAGCTCAAGTGGTAGAGCGCTAGCCTTGAGCTGAAGAACTGAGGAACAGCGCCCAGGCCCAGAGTCCAGGCCCCACAACCGGACCCAAAAAAAAAAGTCTCAGGCTTTCTTGCTCAGGTTTGCTTCAAACTACAATTCTCAGCCCTCAGCCTCTTGAGTAGCTAAGGTTATAGGTGTGAGCCACCTGCAATCTGCAATCTTGCACAAAGCAAGCCACTAACACTTCAAATAACCAAAGAAACAAGACACTTACCAAACCATGAGTCTACATTTTCAGTATCTTCCTCAGCATCCAAAGAGGTAAAATTGATGAAGTCAGAGGGGGCATCAAAGGAATAAGGAGTTGTAATTTGTGACATTGTGTCACCCTTATGCAGAAGAGCAGGTTTTCCCCAGTATTTATGTCACTCTTCTTAACAGGCCACCTTCTGAGGAAAGAATGGTTCAGAAATTTAGTTGCATATAAATATAAGGTACTGATTCCATAACAACTACTTTGGTTTTACTTCCACATTGAAATTTAGAAAACCATCAGGAAAATGTGTCTTTGTGTCAAATCAACATAAAAGTTAAGGGGTTTGTTACTGTGCTGTTTTGGGGTTAAGGATGTGTTTAGAATCAGAAAAAGACTTTCTCTTTTTTTGGGAGGGAGGGGCTAAGGGGTGCCAATACTGGGGCTTGAACTCAGGTACTGGGCATTGTCCCTTAACTTATTTATTCAAGGCTAGCATTCTACCATTGGAGCCACAGTTCCACTTCTAGCTTTTTGGTGGTTAATTGGGGATAAGAATCTTGCAGATTACTTTTCTGCCTGAACTGGCTTTGAATCAGGATCCTCAGGTGTCATTGGTACCTGGCTGAAAGAGGCCTTTTTTTTTTTTTTGCCAATTCTAGAGCTTGAACTCAGGGCATGGGCGCTGTCCTTAAGCCTCTTAGTGCTTAAGGCTAGTGTTCTACCACTTGAGCCCTTGAGCCATAGCACCACTTCCAGCTTTTCTAAGTAGTTTATTGAAAATAAGAATGTCTCAGACTTTCCTGCCTGGATTGGCTTCAAACGACAATCCTCAGATCTCAGCCTCCTGAGTTGCTAGGATTATAGGTATGAGCCACCAGAGGCCATATATAACAATATGTTATATACTATGTTAGGTGTTTACATTATTTTAGTACTATTTTCCTTTAAGCAATCATTTTATTTCTAACCCTTCTCCATTCAACTTATTCTTTCTGCTTTGAATAACCTTATTTTTTTTTTTTGGGTCCAGTCGTGGGGCCTGAACTCTGGGCCTGGGCACTGTCCCTCAGCTCTTCAGCTCAAGGCTAGCGCTCAACCAGTTGAGCCACAGCGCCACTTCCAGCTTTTTTTTTTTTTTTTGCTTATGTGGTGCTGAGGAATCGAACCCAGGGCCTCAGGCATGCAAGGCAAGCGCTCTACCACTGAGCCACCTTCCCAGCCCCGAATAACCTTATTTCTAAAACACATCATTACCTTTCATATTTATTAATAAAAATCTTATTCACTACAGCCCAATCCAAATTGCTATGGTCTTTCCTAGTTTTCACTTATCCTGTTAGATCTCCAAAGCCACAGTGCTTTATTTACATCTCTGATATAATACTTGGAGGTTTTTTTGTTTTTATTATTTTTTGTTGGACATAGGCTTGAATTTAGGACCTATCCTGAACTGTCCCTGAACTTTTTTTTCTTTTTTTAGTCATGGGGCTTGAACTCTGGGCCTGGGCACTGTCCCTCAGCTCTTCAGCTCAAGTCTAGCACTCTACCTCTTGAGCCACAGCACCACTTCCAGCTTTTTCTGCTTATCTGATGCTAAGGAATCAAACCCAGGGCCCTCATGCATGTGAGGCAAGCACTCTACCACTGAGCCACCTTCCCAGCCCCTGTCCCTGAACTTTTTCACTCAAGGCCACAGAGCGACTTTCAGTTTTCTAGTAAAGTCTCATAGAGTTTCCTGCCTGGGTTTGCTTTGAAGGCAATCCTCAGATCTTTTTTTTTTTTTTTTTTTGGTTGGTGGTGGGACTTGAACTCTGTGCCTAGGTGCTGTCCCTCAGCTCTTCTGCTCAAGGTACATGCTACCTCTTGAGCCACAGTTCTACTTCCGGTTTTTCTAGTGGTTTATTGGAGATAAGAGTCTCATGGACTTTCCTTGACTGGGCTAGATTTGAACCAGGATCTTCTGATCTCAGCCACCTTAGTAGCTAGGATTAAGGCATGAGCCACTGGCCCCCAGCTGCAATCCTTAGATCTTAACCTCCTGAGTAGCTAGAATTACAGGTATGAGTCACAGAGCCCAGCAGGACATAGTACTTAACATCCAATTTTATATTAGTTAGCTATGTAAGTGTCATTCCCAGTCAACTTAAGTTCCTAAAGACAAGAATGAATGTTAGGGGCTGGGAAGGTGGCTCAGTGGTAGAGTGCTTGCCTTGCATGCAGGAGGCCCTGGGTTCAACTCCTCAGTACCACATACGCAGAAAAAGCCAGAAGTGGCACTGTGGCCCCATGATTGCCCAAAAAAAAAAAAAAAAGAAGAATGAATTTTACTTGAGAATACGTCATACATATCCTTATTTTGGTGGGTCGTGGGGTTTGAACTCTGGGCTTAGGCGCTGTCCCTGCACTCTTCAGCTCAAGGCGAGTGCTCTACCACTTGAGCCACAGCCCCACTTCCAGTTTTCAAGTGGTTTATTGGAGATAAGAGTCTCACGGATATTTCTGCCCAGGCTGGCTTTGAACCGCAATCCTCAGATCTCAGCCTCCTGAGTAGCTAGGATTACAGGCGTGAGCCACCAACGCCTGGCTGTGAGACATATTTTTGCCAAGTATAATTTTTGCCTTATAATTCCTGAATTGGGGAAGACAGAACCTGTCTAACAAATATAAGACCCCAAGTTCAATCCATAACATGGCCAAAAATAACTCATGAAGAAAATGATTTCATAATACATATAAAAGGCACAATATACAAAGTTAAAAGAAAAATCAACAATATCAGCCCACTCAAATTCTTTGTACAAAATATCCTAGCTACTCAGGAGGCTGAGATCTGAGGATAAGGGTTCAAAGCCAGCTCGGGCAGGAAAGTCTGTGAGACTCTTATCTCCAATAAACCACCAGAAAACGGGAAGGTGAAGTTCTAAAAATTTGGAAGAATAGTAGAAGACACCTAACTTTTGCTTTTTTTATTTTTTTTTTGGTCGATCATGGGGCTTGAACTCTGGGCATAGGCACTGTACCTGAGCTCTTCAGGTCAAGGCTAGCACTTTACCACTTGAGCCACAGTGCCACTTCCAGTTTTCTGGTGGCTGATTAGAGATGAATCTCACAGACTTTCCTGCCCAGGCTGACTCTGAACTGTAATCTCTGAGCTCAGATTCCTGAGTAGCTAGTATTACAGGCATGAGCCACCAGCAGCAAGCTCTTCTGTAGTTTTAAAGATTGGAATTAAAGCAAAAAGAAAAAAAAGGGGGCTGGGAAGGTGGCTCAGTGGTAGAGTGCTTGCCTTGCATGCATGAGGCCCTGTGTTCAATTCCTCAGCACCATAAGCAGAAAAAGCCAGAAGTGGCGCTGTGGCTCAAGTGGTAAAGCGTTAGTCTTGAGCGAAGAGCTGAGGGACAGTGCCCAGGCCCAGAGTTCAGGCTCCATGACCAACAAAAAAAAAAAAAAGAAGAAGAAGAAAAAGAAAAAAGGTTCTCTAAAATCACATAATAATAACAAAGTTGGTTAAAAAACACCACCAAAAACCTAAGGTTTTATTGCAACCATTTGAATTATTGATATCTTTTCTCTCTTGGAACACATTTCTATTCATTTCTATTCAACAGACCCTGGTGACTGACAATGGTTAAAATCTCCTGGCTTCAAGAAGGAAGTTTCCTTGTTCTTATGAACAAACATGCTGTAAGACATGGGAAAATCTTAGATTCCCATGATCTTAATCCCTAGCCAAGGTCACTGGGAACACTTCCCAGGCCAGAATGTAATGAAGACAACCAAAACTGGGGGAAGGAAGAGATGGGAACGTAACAGTTAGCAATCACATTCAACCTTCTAAAACCCATGATTTTACAGCATGCTGCTTTAAAAAAAACCTCTGGATGGGCTGGGAAGGTGGCTCAGTGGTAGAGTGCTTGCCTCCCATGCATGAGGCCCTGGGTTCAATTCCTCAGTACCACATAAACAGAAAAAAGCAGAAAGTGGAGCTGTGGCTCAAGTGGTAGAGCACTAGCCTTGAGCTGAAGAGCTGAGGGACAGTGCCCAGGCCCAGAGTTCAAGCCCCATGCCTGACTTGGGAGGGGGGATTAATCCCTTACAGCTTTCTTTGCCTTTTTTTTAATCCTTTTTGGTGATACTGAGCCTTAAACTCAGTACTTCAGCCGGGTGCCGGTGGCTCACGCCTGTAATCCTAGCTACTCAGGAGGCTGAGATCTGAGGATCGCGGTTCAAAGCCAGCCCGGGCAGGAGAGACCGTGAGACTCCTATCTCCAATAAACCACTAGAAAACCGGAAGTGGCTTTGTAGCTCAAGTGGTAGAGCGCTCGCCTTGAGCTAAAGAGCTGAGGGACAAGCGCCCAGGCCCAGAGTTCAAGCCCCACAACCGCCAAAAAAAAAAAAAAAAAACTCAGTACTTCATATTTGTTCTGCTTGCACTTTTATCATTTGATCCAGGCCTCCAGCTGTTTTCTGGGTTGTTGTTTTACATAAAGTCTTGTGGACTTCTCTATCCTGGCTGGCTTTACCTCTGGATCTCCTAAGTAGCTACAATTACAGATATTACCCAATGGCACCACACGTTTTTGCTTTGTGTGTTTGTGTGTGTATGTGTGCGCGCGTGTGCACAAGTGTGCTACTACTGGGGCCTGAATGCTGTTCCTGAGCTTTTTTTGCTGAAGGCTGGTGCTCTACCACTTGAACCACAGTTCCATTTCTGGCTTTTTGGTCCTTAATTGGAGATTAGTCTCATGGACTTTCCTGCCCAGGCTAGTTTCCAACCTGGATCCTCAGAGTCTCTTGAGTATCTAGGATGACAGGTGTAAGCAACCATCACCCAGCACTTCATATTTTTCTAATATATTTTTTGGGGGCAGAAAATACAGGGACTAAACTAAGGGACTAGTGCTTGCTAGACAGGCACTCTGCCACTTAAGACACTCACCTACCCATTTCAGCTTTCATTATTTTTCTAATAGTCTCACATTTATGCCCAGGCTGGCATGGACTGCAAACCTGCTACTTAGGTTTCTCAAATAGTGGAATACACCACTACATCTAGCTATTATTGGTTGAGACAGAATCTTTATGCCCAGGCTGGCCTTGAACTGTGAACCTCCAGATCTCAGTCTCAAATAGCTAGGATTATAGACAAGGCATCACACCCAGCTTCTTTGGTTTTTCTGTGCAGGGCCTTAC